AATAATGATATTTTCTCCTCCACGAGTTTCTATGGGGGTTGTTTCAGTGAAGAGACATCATTAAAAACTGCTCTCAAGGAAAGAAAGAAAATGAAAGAAAGGAAGTGTGAGAATAATCATACGATTAATAAATTATTAATTGGGATGTTCTTTGCAAACTATTTTAAGAACACTTCATCGATAATTTGATTGAGAGTCAAAAGTTGATTGAGAGATTTCCTTTTTAAAACCGTTTCATTTTTTTTATAAACTGTTCGTCAACAAAATATTTTGGCATGAAATCGGTTCAAAATTGTGTGTTGAACAGATTCAATGTTGTTTTAAATCGCCTACGTGAATAGCAGATCCTCATTACCAAGGCGCATAGCAAATCTTCAACTGCCCCCTAAAAGCATTAATATTGTCATGTCTTTGATGTGTTTGCGGTGTCATTCTCCATATTCTCTTGAGGAGCCGGTTCCTTCTAATAGATAGGAGTCGTACTTTTTGTAACAATATACAATTGGAAGTTATATGTCGCTCAAGGATGTTTTGTGTGGTGCGGAAGACCCAATGTCCGAGACTCAAGTCACAAATGCGTAGCAATGCATCAATTTAACAACAGTATTAATAGTTTCAGAGGCGCCATATCATTCGCGAGTTCACCTTGTCGTTTTCCTCAATCTCGCTGTAATGAATCGATTTCTCAACGTGAAACTGTGTCAACAGCAGAAATAAGGCAAATTCAATTCAATTCAATTCAACAGCTCACAACAAAAAATTCACATATGATACATGTACATTATTTTACTACACCTTGCCAGATGACATTAAACGATTAAATTCGATGCAAAAGTTTAAGTCCCAAGTAAAATCTATTTTGCTGCATAACTGATTGTATACAGTTAGACACTATACCGAGCATCCAAAAGAAAAGTAAGATTAATTTTAACTATGCCATTTAGTGTATTATTTATTTTATTGTATAACTCTAAAGAACCTGTAATAAGTATTGTACTTCAGCTTCTGGGTCAATGGCCCCCATCTCGATCAGCTTTTCGGCCAGTTTCCCTGATCGTCCAGCAAATACTGAGATGGCTCCTTCTTTGGTTCTGGACATAAACGTAACTTCAAATTAACTTCTCCCCGTAGCACGTCTCACAGAGTTGTCAGCTGTTTTCACATAAATAAATAAATAGACACGAGAAGGAATAAAAGTCGATGGGCGTTTGCTTCTAGTCCCAATTCTGCCCGGTTCAGGACCAGTGTGCCGCTGCCGGCCTTCCGACTCCTGCCGCTGGCAGCGCACCGCGCTTTTCCCCCGAAAATATGCCCCGTCACGTGACCGGCCAGCGCGGCGCCGCAGATGTGGCCTCGTCCGCGATGCAAATAACAAGGTGAAACGGTCCCGAAGACACGCACTAGGGGCGAATCAATCTTGCCTTCCCAAAATCCAAGACAAACCGTGCGGGCGGTTACGTGTTTCTATTTCCCCGGCTACTATACTTATTTCGAAGAAGTTACGTAGAGTTGGAGAAAAAAAACTATGCCGAAAGTTTAATGGACCCTTCAGGGTCCATTAAACTTTCAGGGTTTAATGCTTCTTTCAGGGTTCCTGATACCAAAAAATTGATTTCTAACAAAACGTCTGTCTATTTGAATACCTGCTTGTCCGTCTCGCTGTCTGTTTGTCTACCTGTGAAGAACACTAGTCCCTAAAACGTACACAATATTGTGTGCATAATTCTGCGCTCGACCTGTTTAAGCCTGAAGCTCTGCGACTTTAAAAAAATGGCAGTGTTTTATACACAGCTCAGTAGAGATTTTCTGTTTCTATTGTTGTTATAAACAGCTCATTACATTTCATTATTTTATTTTGGCAAAATAGATTCAAGTAAGTTTATAAATGGAATATATTATTAAAAACCAAATAATGTGAATATTTCAGAAAACTGAACCACCGGATGCGTTGAATTATATTCTAGATTTGCCGTAAGATTAGTTATTTTTGATAATTTTCTTTATTAATGAGTGCAAGAATAAACATGTTTAAAGTTAAAGAAACTTCCAGGAAGTGTTACTGAGACATCGTATAGTGCGGAATGCCATTCAAATAAATCTATTCATGTTGCCAATACATGGCACCAGAGCCAAATATGTGTGTGCCGTTTTTCATGAAGTTAATGAAGAGAAATTTGTACATGATAGGCTGAAATATTGGAAGTAGAATAAGTAAATATTATTAATTAGATCGCTAGTGAGAGAAAATTAAAGATGTTGTCTGGTATTAAAAAATATATTTTGCTAAAGATCGTTTCGATCGCGTAGCGATCACCCTCAGAGAATGCAGCTCATGGACCAGAAACAAAGATCTGCGGTTTTTAGAGATTGTAGAGAACTTTGTTTCCTCCCGGAAGCTGCAAGCTCTAAGGATGATCGCTACGCTATCGACACGATCTTTAGCAAACTTTTTTTTCGATACCAGACATCTTTAATTTACCGTTTTTTAATTAATTTTCATTTAATATAACCGTTAGAAATAATACAATAATTCGTGTGTTATATTACACCATTACCACTTATATTATACTCCAATTGCTCTGTTTGTGATGGTGACCGTGTGATAAAGCTTTCCTAAAATACGTTGACTGAAGCATTTAACATCTCTATTGTAGCACGTGTATGCCAGCACTCATTTTGTAAAAAAAAGATGTTGATCAGTACCTCAGTTTAGGAGTAGAATTTTTACCCTGCAGCTTACACTGCCTGATACCTAGGTTTAGGTTCGATTTTACTATCATTCGTTCAGAAACTAAATAATTTTAGATGATAACTTATAAACTCACATCCACAGTGGAAACTCACATCCATAGTGCGAAACTAAATCATCATATGAAGTTTACCTGTTCCTTGGGCTTGTAGGTCTTGAACAATAACAGGTTGCTTGAATGGAATTTGAATTTAGGTTTGGGCGGCCGGGCGCGGAGTGTGACCCGGAGGGAAGTCTTGGCAAGCGCTGAAAGAAAGCGAATGTGGACGCAAGGTGGGGTGGAGGGGGGTGAAGCCTTCGCCGCTGCCAAAGTCTGCGCCGTCACTCGCTCCGCCTTTGCGGCTCCTCACCGCTCAACATTGCTCGTGCGGATAGACAGGTTTCGAAAGTAGGTGAGCAACCGGCAAAAAAGAAAGAAAGAAAGAAAGAAAGAAGAAAAATAAAGAGTTCGTCAACTCGACGTATGGGGACGAGAAATTTTGGTTCTGCCTCTCTTGAACAAGTTAGAATTTCGAATGATAGAATTATGTAGTTATTACAGAATGATAAATGAATGCAGTGTGATTCTAAATTTCATTCAGGTTTTCAAGATGATACTTTTGTTGTCCTTGGTATTCACCTTTTTTGCATAAAGAAATGCGACCACAGAAATATCAACAGATCCAATCCCATTATCTCCATCGCAACCGCTATACAAATCAAGGTTGTAGCATAGTGTAGAGTAGAGGAATAAAATGGTGACCCTCAAAATTACCCTTTTGTTGCTTTTTATGAAACTAAAGATAGACCTCCAATAAACTTGTTGGTTCAAAGAGTTCAACCTTATAGCTACAATCGATAGCAATGATCCTGACTATTGGTACCCACAACAACTGTCAGAAAACATCACTTTCTCAATTCTATACTGCAGTTTACACTCAACGTGGGTTGCCGGTATGTCACTCCATGCAAATA